TTGTCATCGTCGTCATCCCTCCTGCGGTGGTAGGGCGTTGGTCCGCCACGACAGCCTTGTCCGACCGCTGTCTGCCGGTCATGGAGGAGCCACTGCACCTCCTCCTGCGTGGCATCAATGACGGTCGGTGCATGATCTGGGCCGGCATGAATGCGGCGCGGGAAGCGGCGCATGCGTTAGATGGAAAGCACGAGACATGAGGGTTTTTTGGATGGGTCAGGGGAGTCAGAAGAGGGCGAGGCAGGGGTCCTGACATCTGCAAAGACCACCCCAGTTTGTCTCGAGTTTGCGGGAAAAAATGTGTCGGACCGGTCGGCGGAGCGATACAGGCTAGCGTTGCGAAACACATCTGGACCGTGTTGTCCGGTCGGATACAAACGGGTTGAGAGTTCGCGTTGGATATGCCACAAATTGGGTGGCCAAAAAATAATCTAAGAGCATTACTAGTAGAACCCTCAAACCCTCACTAGCGTTTTAAGGGTCCAAAAATGATTTTTTGTGTGTGCACTTTTACGGGTTGAAAAACAGGGGCAAAGATTAGAACCCTCAAACCCAATCCTTATAACGGAATATTCCCCATGAACGACGCTGTCGTTGCGCGCGGGAGGTCGACGGGGCGGCCGCCGGCGACGGGGGCGACTAGCAGCGGCGGTCGCGGGCGTGGGCGCGGGAGTTGGGAGGATTTTTTCCCTCCCGCGGCCGTCAAATGAGGGTTGGAGTAGGTTTTGCTCCCCAACCCTTACTTTTGAGGATTGGGAGAGGGTTTGAGGGTTGGACCTTTAAAAAAATTTGAGGATTTGAGAGTTAAGGGGTTCTAGTCTACAGCTTTTTTTCGACGAAAACTGTAAAAAAAACAGTTATTTTTGGACATCGATAAAACAGCCGAACGTTCGGTCTGGGGAGGCACCAGTCTGAACGATACGTTCGGCAGGGGAGTATCGATGGATCGAACGATTTCATTCGGTGCGAACAACCCCTCAGCCCGTACGCCTGCCAGACAGGCCCCGATATCTC